AGCTGTACGTACCTTCTATGGCTACTGTTAGGGGACATCATAACTGTATGATCGATGGCTACTGTTAGGGGACATCATAACTGTATGATCGATGGCTACTGTCTTGAAACATCATAGGGTCCCCTAACAGTAGCCATAGAAGGTACGTACAGATCATAACTGTATGTAACGTCAATGATTACAGTCAGAGATCGGTGTTACCAATAAGTCTCGTCTCTGTAACTACAGTCAGCATCTAAAATTCCTCTCCCTGAACGGCACATGTGCTAAACAGCTAAGCATAACCGCTCCTAATTAGTACTGTTGACCATACAAAGGCCAACTAGTTTGCAGCTCTCAAAGCCTATATGGCTATTCTTAATTCAATAACAGGATTTACTGACATTTGTTTGTTTGTTGGATGAAGTTTTCACTTTTTGCCCATCTCAATCACGATGAGTTGATCGTAGTTTGAGATGCAGTGGCGTATCTAGTTGGTTGTTCAGCTTAGGTTGTAGGTTACTAATTAGAAGTGCTTCCTTTTCCTAAGCGTTCTTTTCATCTTTCGCCGAGTCTATTATTTTCAAGTGTTCATTATTTGGTTTTTCGCTACAGTCTTTGCTTAGGTGGTTGTAAATTCCAGAGTTATTGAAAGGACTGTTATGCGCATGCTCCTTGATTTTGGTAGCTTGATTTTTCGAGTCGTTGATTTATTGTTCAACGGCATGCTGGAGACTCGAACCTTGGACTTTCTGATCATCTCAAGTATTCTTAATACTCCCTTCGTTGACTAATAACGTTAGGATGTGGCTTTAACGGAAAGCAACATAGAGAACAATTGTATAATACTGTAAGAGAACATAGTTAACTATGTCATTATTAACTTGCTATCGTATTTTTATTTCTTACAAAACACATACGCACGCGCACACACTATTACAGTACACGAAGCTTTTTCTTTGCGTACATGTTGTTCGAAGTGAACGTGGTAAACATTCAAACTAGCATTTGGTATATGTATTGAAGAATACGTAACGTCAAAAACGAACAGAATTATTTTAGTTGAATTAAACGTTTCATCATTTAAACCTTTAGTTAAAATATAGTAAAATGATGATATCAGAGACATCTCGTGCTCAAAATCATCGTATTCCAAATGTATACAAACTTTCATCCAAATCCATTCAGCCATTTTTGAGAAATCTTGCTGACAAACAGATAAACAAACACACACAGGGTTGAAAAGATCTATGATCAATACCAAGAGGAGAATGCGAAGAATAACTAACAGCTGAGGTTAAAAAAAGTAGTAATAGTAAATAATGTCGATGCCAGTTACTTGAGGAGGGAGGACAAGTGACACAGAAAAAACATAACAATAGTTAATATCAGTGATTACTAGAGGGGGTGAGGAAAAAAATGCAATGGTGATTTTAACCTCCGCCACCGAAGTTTTGTTTTCACCCCTGTGTTTGCGTGTTTTTCTGCAAGATTTCTCAAAAACGGTTAAATGGATTTAGATGTAACTTGGTATACATTTGGAATATGACCAAACTTAGAAGTGATTAGCTTTTGAACGGTCAAGGTCACAAAAATCCAAAACTCCCCCTCTGTTAACCTGGGGACCGCATTTTGATGAAACTTGGTGGACATATGTAGTATATTACTTCTCATTGTTCTGCCCAAAATGGTCTGTGTTTGTTGATAACGACGGATATACGGAAAAAATATTCGTTTTTTTTTTTAGAGCATCAACGCTGCGTGGCGGGGGTATGCGTTCTACAGAGTGCCCTCTAGTTTAGATAATGTAATAACGACAAGTAATTCAGTGTTTAATGTTAAGGTAATAATTTAAAAAAAAATTAACATTAGTTACGAAATAATTGCTTTGGGATCGTTGTTCAGTAGAGATAAACATTTCAGAGCAAATGAACATACGTAATTAATCTATACCTTGTTCAACTGATAACACTACGTCACTAATGTTCTAAGTGTTAATCCAAGAAGTTTCGCTGTTGATAACAAAGAGTCCAAGGTTTTCGATCTATCAACTGATAACACTACGTCACTAATGTTCTAAGTATTAATCCAAGAAGTTTCGCTGTTGATAACAAAGAATCCAAGGTTTTCGATCTATCAAACAACACAAATTATTTTAAAGTTTTATCGAACGTTTTTTTTTATGTTTTCTTGTTGTTTTTCCAAACAGATTTACTTTAACTATAATGATTCCAAATATTAACATGTATGACTAAATGAATAATTGTTTTTTTTTAACACAGACTTGCCCAGGTTCGAAACCTGAAAAATAATACAGAATTTCTTACATTAATCGTATTCTTGGCCTACCTATGGTTAATTCAAAGTGACATATCCACGCGTTTTTTTTTTGTCTGTTCATACATCCAATCATTCTTCAGAAATAAATATGCAGCCTCAACTGTTACCATCGTCCTTCTATTCAATGGACCTGTCTTCTTATCAACTCGCCAAGAAAGGAAGCTCTCAGTTTGTAGGCGAATCAACTCTTTCGTCAAGGATCTCGTAGCTTTTCGTTTTAGCAGTCAAGCTTACGATCGATAGAAACAAGAATGATATTGGTGCATAGCGTGTATGTCTAACTTTACAGTTCTCTGTCTAAGAAAAGTATCTTCGTTGTGTAGACACTGGCGGCACAAAATAACCTCATATCAACAAAGAACAACAAAAAAAAGAGCATACACAGATATTTACACATCAAAGTCCTGTTTGTTTTCATTTTAACAACGAGACCTTGAACAATTTTGTAAAAATAAAACACCCCCGAAATTTGTATTGTCGATTCTAGAATTAAGAGGCTCTTAAATTAAAATGATATTTGCAGCTGTATAACACTAGCGTTTATGAAGTATTTTTACGTGGATATCCTTAGCGAGAAAATAAATGTCTACAGATACTCTAAAACAAGTTATTGTAAAATACTAGTATATTCAAGTAACGATACTGATACTTTTGAGACCCTTTTTTTTTCTTTTTCTTGGTTTTTAGATAAGTGAAACCTTTCAATAGAGACTTTAGCAAATGGATTTGGGAGTTGTCTTTTTCTGGTATGGTCAGATAATCCTTTATTCTTAGCGCCGAAGTATTTTTTCAGCTACAAAATTGTTTGGATAAAGTGTAACCATGCTAGCTTACCCCATAAGATAATCATTATACCTTGAACCAATAACTTCTTTTACTAAGCTAACTATGTAACCTCACCCCAATCGATAGTCACTCTATCTAGGACTGCTGTTTTTTTATTTCCAAAGTAACCCATGCTAGATTACTATACCTGTTAACCACCAAATCAACTACTACTGTTTTATGTTACTAAAGTAACCACTTAAGTCTACAACACCTGATAACCACTATAACCAGGTCTACTGCTCTATGTTACTAGAGTTACCACGTAACCTTATCACACCTGATAACCACTATAGCCAGGTCTACTACTCTCTGTTACTAAAGTAACCATGTACGCTTATCACACCAGCTAACCACTATAGCCAGGTCTACTGCTCTATGTTACTAAAGTAACCATGTACGTTTATCACACCAACTAACCACTATAGCCAGGTCTACTACTCTCTATTACTAAAGTAACCATGTACGTTTATCACACCAATTAACCACTATAGCCAGGTCTACTGCTCTCTGTTACTAAAGTAACCATGTACGCTTATCACACCAGCTAACCACTATAGCCAGGTCAACTACTCTCTGTTACTAAAGTAACCATGTACGTTTATCACACCCGCTAACCACTATAGCCAGGAATACTGCTTTATGTTATTATAGTAACCATGTAAGCTACCCCTAATATTAATGTTAATCTATTTAGTTGTTCAGATTTAGCTATTTCTTGTTGTGACTGTAACTGTTTATTATATCTAAACACACCATGTACTTTGTTTCTTTTCTATTTAGCACTTTAATCATAATACCTTCCCGTTTGTTAATCCAAAGCTAGCTAATTTATCATTCAAAAAGGAAACATTTAGTACTCAGCGAAATATATTTTTCTTATTAAACTTAAAGAACGTCAAACTTATATACGTTATATACATTCTATACATTTACTATTCCTTCAGCTGAACGATCGATTTCTGCTTATCATATCTTTTTGCTTTTTATCTTATAGGAAGAAGATTGGTGTACTGTCGTTGCTGGCGTCCAACATTCCCTATTGTTTTGCATTAGTGTCTTCTACGTGACAGTAGTGGAAATGTGTTTCACTAGGTGGCGTATTTATTTCCAACGTCATAAAAAAATTCTCCATCTTGTAGAATTGTAACTCTTCAGACTGTACTGAGTCACCCAACAGATAAAAATTCAGATGAAAAATTATAACAGGAGAGAAAGAGAGAGAAGAGGAATTGTTAAACTGGTTCCGAGAGTAACAATCTGGCCAGTAAGAGTCTTCCCATTTACCATAATACTTATTTTTTCACGTTGTGTCGTATAGTGCATATCGCTACATTAAATATCCAAATAAGTGCAGTATATATTTATCAGAAAACACAGAAAGAACCTATCTGGAAAAGACAGTAGAAAGAACAGATGATAAAACGTTAAATATTTGTTAAAAAATCTCAATCATTACCAAATACGTTGATGATAAATTAAATTTATTTAAGAATTATCACGATGTCCAAAATACTTTTTAGTTACTTAACGCATACACGGTTTTAAAAACAACATGTGGATAGAACCGTGAAAATGAGGTGAAAGTGACAGAAGTTTGTACTGAAACCGCAAAATATGGAATAATCTGAAATATTATAAATGGTTGCCTAAAATAAAAGATCGTAACAGTAATAGATCATAAGCGATTCATGGTTTTTAGTATCAATATTCCTATAACGTTTCGCCTCCCGATTCAAAACAACGACTCATTCTAGATGCGTTTTCGAACTGTGGAGATTTCTGAAAAGTCATGTGACCTGAAAGATACTTGCACGATAGATCAATTACAAAACGAATTTAAAAGAATGTTTTTAGTTACCATACGTTTTTGTGATGAGAACATTTCTTCATATTTCAAACAAACAAAAAAGTCACGTGTTTGTTCTAAAAGTGTATTTCTAGATAGTTTCAGAATAATGTGTACTTAGATTTAATTAAATCTTTAATTAAATCTTTAATTAAATCTTTAGATTGTTGTTCGATGGCGTATTATATAGGTAAAAAAATAAAACAAAATATTAGTAGAAAGATATAATGATAAAACTAATGTTAGAATCATTTTAAAACGACTGTGTGTGAGTAGAAAGTGACTTATTATTATAATCAATAGATATTAACTAATTAAAAGCATAAATGTTTAGGTCAAACATTTTAGTGTCGAACAAAATCGAGTTACTCGTACAAGTTACTCTGAAGCATGTCACGTGATTTCCATCTAGCATTGCGTCCATTTCTCCAGAACCAGAGTATTGATTCTCAGTATATATGTCTCTAATTTTAACTATTCTTAGAATCAACATCAAGAAATGGTGTATCTGTCGGTAAATATACTTGATCCTATTGTGTACTCAAGTTTTAGTGGCTTTAGATGCAGGGCCGGGTTTAGACCCTTTGAGGCCTCCCATGCGATGGTGGAGGCCCCTTTCCTAGGGTGATTCAAAACTGAGGCCTCCGTCAAAATGCATGGGTTGCATCACCTCTAAATCCGGTACTGTTTAAATGTAAAAATATCAATAACTTTGTTTGTAAAGTGAATCAAAGCTGTACAAACACATTGTTTGTTATTTATAAACAGAACGTTATGTTTAAATTATTGATATTTGTGTCTAGAAAAAAATTATTCCTATTCGTAAGGTCAAATGTTTATTTAAAATCGCAACACTTGGTAATTTATTTATTATAAAAAAATAAAATATACATTTTTGGTGGAATAACAATATAAGTCAATGGCATGAAGTAAAATCAATCTTAACTGGACATTTTATGTGCTTCTGTGACTATTTAGTGTTGAAATTTTGAGAGAATGAAGTTAAAATTTACTGTTCAAACTTTTATCTCTTTCCAAATGATCCAGATCGTTACTTTGATTTAATAAAGAATCTTAAACACACCGGTGACCGTAGACTCTTATTTTAACGGAGTGGGTAATGTACTGAAATGAACCAAAAGCTTAATGTCTTTCTAACCTATCGTCGCATTCAAACCATTAAGATATGTTTAGATCGAGGATTTAGAATTTCCAAAATGGGAATATCTCTTGTGCTTAATGGCATTAGAAAGCCAAAGAATATGGATCAACTTGAGGCATCAGCACCATCAAGAAATAAACCTGCAACAAGTCGTGGTCCAGTTGTCGTAACAAAAGTGCGGCGTCTTGTAATAGGTGAAAATGGAGAAACACAACGTTCTGTGGTAAAATCCATTCAAATGTTCCCGATAACAATAGTATGCACCATAAATAAAAAGGATCTCCGTCTGGAAACGAGGCCAACAAGGTATGTGTTTACCAAAATAATTCTGCCAATCATACCTACTGTTCAATCGTCGCATACCTTGAGTAGCTGGTGAATGAATCGAACGCTCATGCTATTCAATATGAAGGCATATCGGTAAAATCGTTGACCGCAGCGCCTATGAATTTATATGCGATAGGACTGTCGAAACAGGCGTTGGGAAATCGACATCCTCGTACACCACATGGATTATGACAGGCAAGCAGGAAGGACTGTTTTGATTTAAATATGACAGTCTTGAGGTGGAGTCTTGTGCAATGGAACTACACTGCAGGACTTTTGTCAAGATGCTCTGGAATCAGAAAGCGTAAATGATCGGATGAGGCGATATGGACTGTAACAACGTGGTTAGGCTTCAAAGTTGCTTCTGGTATAATGTAATCAATCTCCGTAATATCGTTATAGCACAAAAAACTGAAAACGTGGATAATTGTAGCTATTTTTTAAAAAAGACTGAAACTTTGAAGGTTTATCACAGTAAGTTGATAAACAACGAGTTATAAGTATAATGAATTGGTTTGATTTTGGAGAACATACTACTTATTTCGACAGAAAGTTGGTCTGTCTTTTTCAGAAGTAAAAGAGACCAATGCTCTATCGAAACATGTAATATGTTCAAACCAAGTCATTACGTTCATAAATCGTTTTGTTAATTCACTATTATATCAGCATAATGTGCTTCCATAGACAAAAAAAAAAATTATTATGAATGAAAAGCATTTTGTATATAATCATATCGAAAAATTGTATTTCGACAAGTGTCATAAGATAACTATTACTTTATTTCCAAATTCCTGATCTATTTGAAATATTCACAGATATTCTTTAATTTGTACAGACGACAGTCAAGTTTTCTTATCATATTCAAGCACTTACGCTCTATTGGCTTAATACACACTGTTGTGGATAAAAATTCACTCGCACACTATAGTAATTCAAGCAAG